AGGCCAGCCTGGGCTACCAAGTGAGCTCCAGGAAAGGCGCAAAGCTACACAGAGAAACCCTGTCTCAAAAAACAAAACAAAACAAAAAGTCCATTCACCATACATCTTAAACGTTCCCAAGAAAATACTATACTTGACTAAAATATGCTCAACCATAGTGTAGAGACCACTTTACTTAACTCGAAACACTCAAACATATTTAAAATAATATGCCTTATTAAGAATCTGAAAAATGCCCTGGTGACATCTGGGCCAGAGTTGTTGCCAAGGGCCATGTCTGGTCCATGGCCCTGCAGCAGCCAGGGTCTATGTTGATGACCATGGCTCCTGTTACCATTAGGGCTGTGTGAATGCCTGGGATGGTCAGGCCCCTGCGACCATGTTGGTGATTTGAGGGCCATTGCTGCCCCTGGGGCCATGCTGATCTAGGCAACCTGCTCTGCCACCAGGGCCATTGGAGGCCTCTGGGCCTGAGCTGCTGCCAAGGGCCATGTCTGGGGCAGTGGTCCTGCTGTAGCTAGGGTCTGTGTTGATGTCCATGGCCCATGTTGCCACGGGAGACCATAGGAACTATGCATGTTAAAATCTGAGGGTTGTGCTGAGCCAGCATCACCCTTCACTGGCCCTAGGATAGCTGACCCTTCTCACTGGATATTGCAGCAGGAGAGCTGGCCCTGCCTTTCATGGTAGAGCTGGCCTTGTACTCAGGAGAGATGGTCCCACCCCTCACTACAGTCATGGGAAAGCAGACCCCAGTGGCACGGGCCCAGTAGAGCTGGCTCTATGCCTTGCCTGGGTGTTTGGAGGGTGGAGTTCTAATGAGTTTGTCCATCCTAACATCTACCTCATAATCTGCTGGAATGCATTAAGGGTGAAGGGACTGGTCCTACGAAATGATAGCTTCAGGATCCCCATGACTCGGGGCAACAGCAAGAAAATCCAAGAGGGGTTTTGGTGAGGGTCCAGCCATGATGGTGTGTCAGAGGCCTTGAACAAGACCAATGACTCATTGCAATGAACATTTTGTGGGTGGGGCTGATTGGACAAAAGGGTGTACTGCATGACACACTGCAGCTTCTGATGCAACTAGGACAAATGAAGAGGTGTTGGAGAGATGAGAATAATGGAGGAGCAAGGTGGGGGGGTTTTGTTTTGTTTCGTTTTTAATTAATTTGGGGGGGTTATTTTGGGAGGATGCTGTAGGGGTAAATGGTGGATATGGAGAAGAAGAGGAGAAGGATTGGGTTACATGAATTAAAATTTCCAAAGAACCAATTAAGAATTATATATGCATCTGAATTTGGAAAAAAACTCAGGCAAAAATTTAAAAATATAATATTTGTACTACTTCTTTGCAAATTTCATATATGTATGTAATGTGTTTTGATAACAGTCACCTCCCACTCCTGACCCACTCCCTATCTCTTATCCTTGACACACAACTTCACATCCTTGTTTTGGTTTTTTGTTTTGGTTTTTTGTTGTTGTTGTTTTCCATTCAGTGACCCATTGTGCCCATTTGTGCTGCCTATGGGTGTGGGGCAATCCCTTGGGACATGGTTCACCTACCAGGGCCATACAGTTAAAGATAATTGACTCTCCCTCTCCAAGCAGTCATCAACTTTCCACAGACCCTCAGCTAGGAGCTCATCAGTCCCTCCTCCCTCAATGCTGGAGTGATAACTGGATCAATCTTGTGTACTAGCAATCACAACTGCTCTGAGTTCATGAGTACAGAAGTCCTGTCATGTCCAGAAAATAATATTTCACCCCTGTCTTGTCCAACCTTTCACTCTTATAATCTTTTTATACTTTCTTCCATGATGTTCTTTAATACTGATATTCCATTTATGCCTATCACTCAACAGATACTTATTCTCTGCACTTCAACCAACTGTGGTGAGTGTCTTCATTAACAGACACTCCTGCAGAAAGAAAATTCTTTGATGATATCTAAGAGCTGAAGTAATTTATGAGTATAGCAATATGAATTTGGAAGGCAGTTTAATACTATGTCCATTTACTAAAATAGTAATGAGTTACCCTGGGGCCTCAACCATGGATTCTTGGCCATATTTATAATACCAGATGTGTGTTTCTTCTTATGTAGTTGATTTTATATCAAACAGAGAGTAGTTGATTACCCCCATAGCATTTGTAACACTATTGAAATCATGGCTGTGGGATGACTCATCCCTAACAGGCTTGAGGACTAGCTGGCCTAAACCAGTAAAAGAAAGATACTTTCTGAGAGCTAACCTGGGTCTGTCTAAGGGCCTTAGCAACAGCAGCTGAGACATGATCTGGAGATGACTTGGACCAATGAGAGGCAGTCATATCACACCAGCAAATGCATATTCATCAGACCATCCCCCAGGGTGGGGTGGTGGATATATAAGGCTTGCATTTTCCTGAAAAAAACTGAGCATGTTGTTTTAACATTCTCCCAGAGTCTGTGTTGTTGGCTCTTCACCTACTTGGCCCCCTCCCCCAAAGGGAACAACAGTACAGGACCCTGCCACACAGGGGCATATTTTGCCATGCCATTCATGATTGTAGCTTACAAGGTTTATATGTGGATAAGACTATTGATGACTTTTATCAGGATCCCACCAAGCACATTCCAGTACTATGAAAGCTAGTCAGCAAAGAGAATGCTTCCTAGTATTTATTTCTACATGTCCTGTGACCAAAGTGTGTGATGTCTTCAACAATAAAGTCTTACTATCAAGATCTGCTGGGTAGCCAAGAACAATGGTGGTAGCCTATATGGTTTTGGGTGTCTCTAGGACACTCTTGACTAACACCTTGGGGAGAGATATGCCATACCTGGCACTAGTCTTTTTACCTGGCAACTAAGCAAAATTTTAAACATAGGAAATGAAGATCAAATCTTAGATGATGTCTGGTAATACTCAGCAATATGCTCTTGAGATCTTAAGGACCTACACATTTGCCTTGTTTAAGAAAGAATTACAGACAAATGTGACATTTTCCACATGCCTTACCCTTCACATCACTCTGTTGGATTTTCCCACTGACCCATCCATCATCAAGATGACTCTTTCCTGAATGTTTCTTCCAGTCAATTTCTAACACTTCATTCCATCTTCCTTCATCTTCCATCTCTATAATTCACTTTTTCAGATATGTCTTCTGGAAGGAATCTAATATAACTATATAACCACCTAGGCTAAGATTAAAATGTACCACTTGAAAAATCATGTACTTTTAATGTCTGCAAAATTTTTCTTACTTTTATATAAGGAGGTACTTTTTTCTAAGACAACATTCTAACAAAAAAAAACCCTCAGTGAAAATGTATACTTTAGTAGGCTGATAAGCCAAAATCATGTATATATGGTTTATGTACATATAAACATAACTTACTTATTTAAACAAAAACATAAAATGTGAACTTTAAGATGTTAAAATCACACATGAGTGCAACTGCTTAAGACCTATGCATGTTAAAGACTGCCTCACTCACCCAATTTTTTTCTCAAGTACATACACAAATGTATATTCTTCATCCTGAAGAAACATAATAAAAATTGAACCAACAAAATAAATTAATTTGTAAGGCAGAAAATTTATGTTTCACAGATAGCCAAAACTGAACATTAAAATTCATCTCTACTACAGATTCTTTCTAACAAAAAATAAAAAACTCATGGAAATCAAAATGAAAGAAATAGGGACTGATCATATAGAGATTAGTTCTGGCTAGCCATTTGTCTAACCTGCTTTCTCATTTACCCACACCCATAACTAAAGACTTCTGTATTTAGGATGGACTACAGGAGACATGATTTCTGCCACACTGTAACAATGATCCTGCAGGTCATTATTATGGGACAGTTATGTCTGCAGCCTTTATTTTAGGTACAGAGATAAAATGCTTGCATTAGAATAATGATTGATTTAGATAAAATTCTCAAATAACATTAAATTCTTTGCTTTAGTTTATAGCAAGCAGCATAATGATATATTCTTCAATCACTTAAAATAATATTTCAAATGCTATGTAAAATTATTCAAATGTGTAGGATATTACCATGTGTATAAAAAACTGAATTTAAAGATGCTGAGTAATAACTATAAATACAACCAGATGAAGACAAGACTTAGAAATGATATATTAAAGTTAAAGATGTGATTAAGTAATAGGATTAGGAGTAATTTGTTATATTTTCCTTGATGCTGGTAAAAATTATTTTAGTTAAAAATAACATAATTCATGCTTTATGGTTAGTGATAAACATTATTATTGGATATTAACAGATATGCTTTCCATCAAATAGTAGAAAGTAAAAATGTCAACCTTCTATCAATTCTTAAAACACCTAATTGTTGAACATGTCCTCTTTAAGGCTACTTTGTTTCACTTGTCTGATATCCCAGCTTCTTCTTAGTTGGAGGATGCTATCCACTGCTGGGTTGGTTTCTTTTTTTCAATTCAAAGCAAATATTTCAACTCTGCAAATTATAGCTTGTACCTTATACTGTTAATGATTCATACATAAAACTTGGCTTCCTTACAATATTTCATGACATTATCAGTAAAAGGTAAGTAGTGTATAGAGAACTTCACCATAACCTCTATAACTTATGAAGTTTGTCAACCACAAATACATATGTTTTTGCTGTAGTTTGACTTTGTATTTAGAGAGAAAAATCAATGTCATTACAGGAGAGTGTTAATGACTCACATAAACATAAGTGATTAGACTATCAGATATATAGAACATTTAAACAAATTATATGTGTGTGTGTGTGTGTGTGTGTGTGTGTGTGTGTGTGTGTGTGTACAGATATAACAAGATAGCTAGATTTAAATATTTATCTAGTATTTGGTTCATTGAATGGGGAAATTTTTTTTTCTGCAGTCACTTAAAGGAATTTCTGATACCTGGCATGGTTTAATGCTGACATGAAGATAGGATAAGGATACCGGAACCTGTATCAGGGACCACACAATCCTGCTGCTGTTTAATTGGCAGAGGACATTGCCATGGTATTAGGACCACCCCTACAAACACTCTTCTACTTTTTGGTCACCCCCATCACCACTACCACAGTCTATTTTTGTGTCCTTTGTGGAACCATTCCAACCTAGCCAACACTGAGGGCCACATTGTTGTTCTTTGCATTCTTAAAACTGGAGGTTAACAAACTGAAGAAAAATGTGGATGACTTTGATTTTTTTTCATTAGTGTGTCCCACTGGGAGACCTGTGTTTATCAGAAATTTGAATTAGCCACTAAATCTTAATACTCACGGCACCATAACCACCTCTCTCCATACCACCCAAATTTCAAAATGACGCATGTCAAAATGAAAATTAGACAGTTCATAAATCCTAGAAATACTGTTTGTTCTCAGCACTTCGTGTGATTGTTGACATTCATGTTTTAGCCGCGTTCATCTTTCTATCTAGACTCCAATAAGTTCAGTGTGCAACTTCTTCTAGTTCTCTTATCCAATCAGCGGTCTAGCACTTTCATTCTGGAACCTGTGAGAAACAGGAGGAAACCAATAGGTTGAGTGAGGTAAATGGCTGACTCCTCCCTCTTCTCTTCCACTGCTCCGCCCAGAAACCTTGCCTTGGAACCTGCAAGCCCTCCCGTGTCCAAGCTACTCCCCGGTGCCAATACTGAGCTGATATGCTCCGTTACGCTCTGGTGAATCACAGTCCTTTCTAAGGTCCAATCTAACACTTGTACTTTCAGTGTTCTTAGATTTCTTTGCAATTTCGCTTTGGACATTTCAAAGGTGGAGAAGTTTCAGGCACACTTTTTATCAGTTTCCATTTTCTGGCAGGAGAAAAGAAATCGAAACCACAGCAATAAAATATTCACTCCAAGACTTTTCAGTTTGGATGTCTGAATTGTTGTCTACATACATTCTTACATGCAAATTTGAAAAATGATTCTTCTAACTATGCATCATGAATCACTATAAGGCTCACTAGATAATCTATAACAAAATGCACTGATAATAATGAAGACAAACAGTGGTCATTTATCATGAGAAGGAATAGCATTCAAAAATCACATGCAAGTCAAGATCACACTGTCACTTGCTGTTCTAGAAAGGCCTCTTTCCTAAAACTCCAGAATGCCCTCTTTTCTGCCCAAGTGTGTGTGTAAACAAGATGTGGCCACAGCACCAATCATGTGTTCAATCATCTCTGTTGAGTTTCAGAGATTAAATGATAGGACCACTCCAAGGTAATAACTACTAGTACCGTCTCTGAAAGCTTTCTTACAGGCTCACACGTGCTTTCTGTACTAATAGGATCATAAAGCATATACCCTTTTCGAACTATTCCTTTCATTGTACGAATTTTTTAAAATCCACCCATGCTGCTCTATGCACCTTCAGTGTGGTGTTTTTAATTCATGAGTAACTTTCTAAATATCCTGAAGTAGAACCCTGAAGAAACGCCCTTTGCTTACACTGCCTTTCAGTTCTGTTTTTAATATTTGTTCCATGTATACAGGTACACCAATGGTGGATGCATAAATGGGATGTATTACTACTAATAGAGCTTTTCTCACAGAATAGTGATCTTCCTCACTTCTTGTGGAAGTTTTGGGCTTAAACTCTGTTTCATCTACATGGGTGTGGTACCCATTCTACTTGGTTAACATTTACATGAAGCATCGTTTTCCATCTATTTATCTGGAGTCTATATGTGTTCTTAAATTTGAAGGGAGCCTCCAGGATGCATGTTTTCTGTGCATTCCTCCAGTCTATGTCTTCTGAGTAAAAATTTTAACCTAATGTTTAAAGTAATTGCTGATAGGTAAGGGCTTGCTATTGCCCGTGTGTACTTTGATTTCTGGTTGTTTTTACTGTTCCTTTGTTCTGCTCTTCCATTGCTGTTATCTATAATTTGATAGTTTTTTTTAAAATAGTGATGTGTTTTCATGTTTATCTTTTTCTGTATCCAGCATAGGTTTTTTTCCTTTGTCATTACCACAGAGATCACAGAAATTATCTCAAAATAATTTGATTTTAATTCCATTTAAAATAATCTATTCCTTTGATTCTGTCACAGGCACACTTTTTATGTTTTGATATAACAGTATCAGTTTATACTTTGTATTCCATGATTTTTTAATTGAGTCTTGGTTGTTTCTGGATGTTTCTTGCTTTTAAGTTTAGCAGCTTGTAATGTTCAGGGAATTTTCACGTTTCATCTTGTTGCTAAATGTGTAGATATAGTTCTATTTATAATACTGTCAGTCTTCAATAAGTGAGATCCAGCATGTTTGGATGGTATGGCGATGGACACATCAGTCTTTTTAGAATCTGTTTCATCAAATTCTAAACATCTTCTTAGAATCCTATTTCATTATTGATACTGTATTCATATTGACTTGTTTTGATCATTTCTGTAATATTTTATCACTTTTCTTTAAATTGATAAAAATTTATTCTTTACAGAGATTTTAGACTTAGAGAAAAAAATCAAAGAGAAAGTTCAGAGAATTCTCACATAACACTCGCATCCCCCAGGGTCTTCTATTCTTAACATCTTGCAATAACATGGTTCATGTGTTTCAGTTGATGACATGGCATTGACATGTCATTAACTGAAGTCCATAGATTACACCCTTTGCATTGTCTTTTCTATGGATTTTGACACTTTAGTATCAGCACATTGAAGTTCCTTTGTTCTTCTTACTCATCGTTCCCATGTCATAACAAACCGCTAGCAACCACTTTCATTCAGTCTCCATAGTTTTGTCTTCCTGGAATAATACACAGCATGCACTCTTTCCAGACTGGCTTGTTCACTTGACAATATGCTTTTAAGGCTCCAGTGCTTTTTCCCATGCCTTGGTGACTCACTTCCCTCTTTTATTAAAAATAGATCCTTTTCTCAGACAGTATATCCTGATTACTGTTTCTCCTCCCTCTACCCTTTTCAGTTCCTCTCCGCTCCCATCCTATTTCTTTTTGTCTCTCATTAGAAAGGAACAGGCTTCTAAGAGATAACAACAAAACATAACAAAATAAAATGTGGTAAGATAAAATATAACCCATCATACTGAAATTGGACAAGGCAAACTAATAGAAGGAAAAGGGCCCAAGAGAAGGCACAAGCATCAGAGACCAACTTGTTCACACACTCAGGAGTTCCATAAATATACTAAACTGAAAACTATAATACGTACACAGATGACTTGGTGCTGACCCATGTTGGCCATGTCTTTCTGCTGCAGTCTCTGTGAGCTCATATGTGCCTTGCTTAGTTGATTCAGAAGGCCTTAATCTCCTGATGTCCTTCATCCTATCCAGGTCTTAAACTCTCTCTGCCTCCTCTTCCATGGGGTTCCCTGAGCTCTGAGGGGAGGGATTTGATGGAGACATCTGACTTAAAACTGTGTGTTCTGAGGTTTCTCTATCTCTGAGTAATGTTTAGCTGTGGGTTTCTGCATCTGTTTCCATCGGCGGCAGGAAGAAGCATCTCTGATGATGATTGAATAAGGCACTTATCTATGACTATCAGAATATCATTAGGACTACTTTTATTGTTCCTTTTTTTTAGATCTTTACCCTAGATCTCTGGGCTACCTGGTCTCTGGTTCTTGGTCCCCCAAGCAGTGTTGAAAATGGGTTCCATCTCATGGAGTGTGCCTTAAGTTAAATCATTTCATTAGTCAGTTATAGTCCATCTTATTGTGATATCACAGCCTGTTTATTGATTTACCCATGGAAGAACATTTTGGTTACTTACAGTTTGAGCATCTATGAAAGAAAGCTGCAAATTTTTGTGTGAATATATGATTTCAACTAATGTATATAAAGAGTATAATTGTTGAATCATGTATTAAGAATAAGTTCATGAGTGCAGTGTGATGACACATGCCTGTAAGTCAAGGACATGGCAGACTCAAGCAGGAAAATCTTAGATTTGAGTACAACCTATACTACATTATAAGTTTGAAGATATGAAGATTCCTTATGACATGTGATGATAATATTTACATGCTCTTATTTTTCAGCCCTTTCATGAGACATCTCTCCAGAACTTTTGAACATTTTAAAATTGGGTTGTTTGTTTCTTGTTGAATTTCAAGAGTCATGTGCATATTTTAGATAACAATTCTTTATCACATCGTTTTCAAAGGGTTTTCTCCAAATCTGTGCTGTTTTTATTTTTTTCCAGCTTTTCCAGAACAAAATACTTTGATTTTTAATGAAGCCCAACTCGTTAATATTTTCTCAAGGATCATTTCCTTGAGATTTCTTAAGATTTATTTTTATATTTAGTTGTGTGTGTGTGTGTGTGTGTGTGTGTGTGTGTGTGTGTGTGTGAGTGTGTTTGGTGTGGGTATATGAACATGCGACTGCAGTGCCTTCAAGGGCCAGAATGCATCAGATCTCCTAGAGCTAGTGTTGCTGGCAGCTGAGAACCACCTGATGCAGGTGCTGGGAACCACACTGTGGTTCTCTGGAAGTGCAACAAGTGCTCTCAACTATTCAACTATCTTTCCAGGAACCTATGATTTGGAGACAAAATAAAGAGTGAAAGAGAAAATAAAATTTAAAATTACAGAACAATATCTCTGATGAACATGGATGTAAAATAAATCTCAATACTTGCAAACTGAATTCAGGAAAGATTACCCACTAAGATCAAGTAAGCTTCATTCCTGAAGTAAATGGACCGTTCAACATATGTAAATCAATAAATGTAACCCAGTATATGAATAGACAAGAGTAGAAGTTATGTGATCATTTCATTAGATATATAAAAGTCTTTTGATAGAATCCAATGTCCTTTCACAATGAAAGTTCTGGAATATATACAGATACAGGAACACACCCACATAATAAAGGTAGTATACAGGAAGCTCACGGCCAACATCTTGCTAAATGAAGAAAAATTAAAAGCCTTTCTACTAAAATAAAAAACAAAACAATGATGTTCATTCTCCTGTCTCCTGGTCAATATAGTACTTGAAGTCTTAGGCAGAGCAACAAGACAAATAAAAGCAATAACAGGGATACAAATAGAAAAAGTGGAAGTCAAAGTATCATTATTTGCAGATGATAAGATTCTACATATAAAAGACCCTACAGACCCCACCAGAAAATTCCCACAGCTGATTGACACGTTCCACAAGGTAGCAGGGTACAAATGAGCATCTAAAAGGCCAGCAACTTCCCTATATTCAAATCACAAACACACTGAAAAGGAAATCAATGAAACAATACCATTCACAATCGTTCAAAAATAGATTAATAAATAAGAGTATCTTGGTGTAAATATAACCAATAGAGTAAAAGCCTTGTACAGTGAAAAGTTTCAGATACCGAAGAAAGAAATTAATTAGGATACTAGAAGATTGAAAGACCTCAAATGCTCATATGAAAAAAAAAAACAAAAAACAAAAACCTAACAGTGTGTCATAGAGTTTACAGCTGTACAAATAACACATGTAAGAGTGCCGTTGATTTACTGAGCCTCAGTGGCTCAGGGGGAGGAAAGTGACT